CATGAATGAAATTTTCCAGTTTTTGTTAAACTAGATTTATAGGCTTACGTAGAGGGTACAAAAGAAGTTCAAGTAAAAGATACCAAAGTTATGTCATATATTCTTGAAGGGGCAAGCGAAATTATTTTCAATGATATAAAAGATTTAACAAATTGATGTAATGTATGCAAGATAAGAGTAATAATGTATGCAAGATATTAAAAGAACCAATGTTTATTTAATTTGATGTAAAAGTAAATATTAAAATTGCAAGTGTTGGTTGATTTGTGCCTCCATATTGTGCTCCTGTGCGAACTAATACCCGCCGAGTGTTGATAACGTAAACAGGGTAATTTACATAATATATGTGAATGGGAAAAGTGAGTTTGTAAATTTTAAGTAGCTATTAGACAACTTTAAATTTGATACTTTTATTACTTATGCCATTTTGTTCCACTTAGAACTTAACTTGGCTGTTTGAAAGGAAATTTATACACAAAATTACTCACGAGAAAAAGCGCGACATCTGAACGACCCGTGTAATGTCCGCACCTTCATTTTAGTAAAAAAAAGTGCGGACATTACGTGAGCGTATATGGTAAGTAAAATTAATGAATTTATAAGGTATTTCTCCCGCCTTCCTAACGTGCTTTCGTGGTGTAGTGATTCTGCACGCTGGGGCAGAGGTCCGTGGTTCGATTCCCGGCGAAGGCGATTGCGCATTTTTCATCTCTCCTCCGGCTTTCTAAAAATACATAATGTCTCTTCAGTTGCGCCCGAACTAAAAGGGTGATTGATGATGACTCTCCACACACAGGATTTGGCGATTGGATCCCTTGAAACCCCAGTCGCTCTTTAAAAAGGGAAGTATATAAGATATTTCTCCCGCCTTCGTGATGTAGTGATTTTGTACTACTATTTTTGTGGACCGGTATTCCAGAGGTCCATGGTTCGATTCCCGGCGAAGGCGGTTGCTATTTTTCATCTTTCCTGCTTCCCAAATTATACCTAATGAACTGTACAGTGGCCCCCGAACTAAAAGGGTTGTGGATGATGACTCTCCACACCGAGGGTTTGGCGAATGGGTCCCCTAAAAACCCCCAGTCGCCCTTTAAAAGGGGGAGTATAAGGTATTTCTCCCGCTTTCCTAGCGAGCCTTAGTGGTTTTGCACTCTGGGCCGGTATTCCAGAGGTCTGTGGTTCGATTCCCGACGAAGGATTTTTCATCTCTCGGGCTTCCAAAAATATCCTAATGTCTCTACAAATTATACTTACTATTTAACCATTACTTACGTATGTCTTGTACGACTTGGCATGCTGTGCAAAAATTAATTCAGAAGGAAAGGCATTTTAAGCAGATTTATGTTGCATGTAAGAGAAGTCAAATACATCTGGTCATGACTGCATCTAATGCTAGTGTGAAATAACAGCAGACTTGCTGTTCCTGACTAAATGCATGGGAGGTAGATGAAAAATTGCTCGCATTAGTGAACTATCGTGTAGTTTGCCATAAACGAATGTCGTAGCCTTCCATCCATTGCTTCTTTAAAAACACCATTTTGCATGAAAACAAAATTGTCAAATAATAGACGATAATTTACACTTTCAAAAATAGTTGCAGTTAAAAACAAATTCGAAGCAGGCGATTATTTTTTATAGCAAAGCAAAGTCTTTTAAAAATATGCGAATAGCCTATGTACAATACAGATCAGGATCAGCTCTTAGGTGAAAAGAAGACAAGTAAAAATGAAATCTGTACGAAATTTGAAATATTTCTTGGCCATCATACGTTAAAAATTTAAACTTGCTGAATTCTTCTAGTAATATCTTTGCATATAATTTGCCACTGATCTGCTATGAGTAGATGAGTATGCGTATTTAGAACAAGTTGTTATTTAGAGCTGGCATGTGTATGTTTTTTTAGAGAAATTTCAAAGGTTCAAAAATATATACTTACTATACAGAAGAAAAGTTAGTGTAGAGGAAAAGGATTAACTTCGAAATGGAGGGGGGGGGGGGGGGGGGGGGGCGTCTCTTGCAAGAAACTGACATCGGATAGCTGAGAAATGAAATTCATTGGCCCCGGTCAAATAAACATAATAACGTTTTCTTTTAATTTGTGATTTATTCATTCATCCTTTATATGTTGTCATTTAGGTATTTTTGTAAAAATCGCACAAGTAGTTTTTAAAAAATTAGCTCTCAAAATTTTAGCTCCTCCATGTTAATTGAATTTGGTATATATTTATTAATCTCTCTTTTTTAATTAAGCTTATTTGATTTTTCCTTTCACATTTCGAAATTCAGGTTCATTCCAAATAAAATTCACGCATTTTTCATGATTTATTTTAAAAATTTGTATTTTTAAATAATTTTTATAAATTAAAAAAAATTGTATCGTAATCTATAAAATCTGTATCATCTTAAAGTAGACGTATTTCTAAGCATACCTGCAAAATATTGCAGTTTTTTATTCAAAATTTCCGAAGCTATACGTGAATTTATATATTAGCGCGTTTTGAAATTTGGCATATTTGCTGAAAGCGATAAAACATCAAATGTGGTTTAGACACTTTGCTAAAATTATTTGAAAGAAGGAACGATGCAACTTTTTTTTCGGCTCATGCACAATGTAAAAAGGTTGGAACGAGGTGTCTTTTTTCCCCGCTCCGGCATAATGGAAGGGAAAGGAAAATTGGTTGCCATATATTAAGAAATTCGCCAAAAGAATTATTCTTGGCGCAAACTGAAAAAAAAATGCGCCAAGATAAATTTTTGAATTTCTCCGTAAATTTCGCACCAAATTTTACAAAATTTAATATCTAAGCATAATTTGAGTCGTAGAATCGAAATATGGAAAAAAATTGGTATGTTATTTCAGGAAAAGTCCAATTTTGTGTCAAAATACCTATGTTAGAACAGTTTCTATATATATATAAATCTAATATATTCTAAAATCTAATATCCTCAGTCACGCTTTCGAGACATGAAAAACGCAATTTAAATTTTGTCAATCGGCCCAGTAGAACGGGAGATATAAAACTGTCCTTTTTTTTTTTTTTTTTTTTTTTTTTTTTTTTTTTTTTTTGCGCAGTGTACCTATCCTTATGTATCGATTAAGGGTATAGTGGACGACAAATTTACCAAAAATTGACCAAAAATTGGGAAATAAAAATTTCATATGATAATATTCTACGGTTTTAACTCTATCGTCTACAAAAAACCGCTTGTGTGTAAAATTATTTTAAAAGAAGTTATAAGCATTTGAATACGCTTGTTTACCTTTTTTGTGACATTTAAAGGGACATTTAAATGCCAATAAAAAGGTAAACAAACATTTGAGAAACATTATTTTAATTTCCGCCACAATATCTTTTACTGTTAGTAAGATATAAATGTGTAATATTATGAAGACTGCAATTTATGCGAGTTTGTTTCACGAATGACTTAACCAGACATTACAAATATTCAACAGATGTCATATCATTAAAAAAATTTTTTTATGTAGCATTGCTAAAAATATGAAACCTAAATCTCAGTCAGTGATGACAAATTACTGTTGACAATCTCAGCAAATCAACAGTAAATCAGCCAGGAATCAGCTTTTAGCATGATGCATATCTGGAAAATATAAAACACTAACGAGAGTTCACATAGCGCCATTTGGAAGAACTTGCTCGAAGGAAACATTTGTATTGAAAACAGACTCGAAATAGCTGTTATACAGCAATTAGGGACTTCAGTTTTGAGTGTTTAAATACTTTAGGTATGGAACGGAAAAATATAAATTCATGTTCAATATCTATTGGACAGAGACAAGATAAACGTCGTATGCATCAAAGCAAAAAGCGGGGTTTGACTGGATACGAGAAAAGAAGAATTACAAAACAAAACAAAAAAAAAAAAAAAAAAAAAAAAAAAAAAAAAAAAAACTGTGTAAAGTAGGTAAACATAATGAAAATGTAAATAAAGAAATGGGAAACATATGGTGCTGGACTTTTTAAAGTGATTCTAATTTTTTTAAAAAATTACTTAGTTGAATTTTCTGAGAGTCTTCGAGAAAATTTCTAAAATAACATTAAGTATTTCTTATCATTCAACGATTTTATTAGTAGAAAATTATTTATGCATACGTAAAACAGTGTTAAAATATTTTTTTATTAAATAAAATCATATATTAGAACATACTGAGAAGTAAATATTATAGGTAAGCGTAAAAATATTCTTAAAATGTATTTCTCTCATAATGAAATTTTTGCGATTATTACATCTTCAAAATGCTCCATGCGCTGTTCAAAATTGAGTGTAATTTAGATTCCCATTTATACATTTAACAAAACTTTGTATGCATTTTTGAATGCGAATTCATTAAGAGAATAAAAGTCCAATTAAAGTGTATTAAAGTGGGAAGTTATGTCCAAAATTTAAGTATATATGAAAGAAATATTAATTAAAAACTAACATTTTATGCAATTCACTAATTGATACTAAGTTGTGTTTGCAATGCATTTTCAACAAAAATAAAGCAAAATTAACAAGAAAGAGAAAAAAATTAAATCGCATACAACATTTTGAAAAAATTAAAAAAATTCAAAATTTGAAAAAAAAATTAAATTGCAAGATATTTGATATAATTATAGTAAAATATACATGCATGCAAAGTTTCATAACTCTATGACAATAATTAAAAAGTATTTAAACGTCCACTGTCCCCTTAATGAATTAATTTTGCATTAGATTTACATATTGCGTATTAATTATGTATTTTACTTGATGTTTAGGTTAAGTATAAACTTATTCCAACGTTCATGCTAATTACTTAAATCAAATTTTGCAAGTTTTATTTTGTTTATTACGTTATTTTCAGTTTTGTAATATTCAGTCGAATCTTACTTAATTAATCAAATAATCTTACCTTCTTCATTTAATTTTGCTAAAACTTAAGCTTGAGTAATACTTAAATTATTAATGATATATTCACGTGTTCTGTCATTACAATAAATAAATAAATGAACACAAAATATTTGACAAAGGTTTATTTATCCATAATTGAGAATCGTCACAAAGTACATATTTTATAATTACAGATAAGAATAACATACATTTCATTCAGAAGGTACTGATACGAAAAATTAATGAGGTGATTTCTGCTTTTTTTGTTCTAAGACTAGCACTATAATTCACTTTTCATGACTAGTTTCAAAAACGACACTTTTCAATAATACCTACAGAAACTAGAACACAGATTTGTTGCAACTGAATTATGTTTTCGATGACTAGATTCACATCTTAAAATATGAGTTCTATAATACATTCAGAACTTCCTGTCCAGTAGGCTTATTGGACTCTCGTGAGTCAATAATCATATCTGCTTGACATTGTTGAGCAGAAAATAATTATTAGTATACATTATAAAAAATTTGCTTCACTTCTGTTGATTATGGTAAAAATCCAAACAGTGTCCAAATTTCTGAAATGATTTGCAGAAATTTCTCATACTTTATATCAGTATAGATCAGGAAATAAAACTGTGGCATTACATTGAATATTACACAAAATTTATGTATAATAGAATTTGAGAATAAATTAATATAAAATTCTGAAGAATAAAGATGAAGATTGATGATGTCATGAACATGTTCTTAAATCTCAGAACATATTTCTGCCATTGTTCAGGAAGGGAACAGAACGATGACTAGGTAAACAAAAGATCTCAAGACGGTAAATGAATATCGCTATTAATTAAATGATAATCTCAGGTAATTCTTCTCTACATTTCGTAATGATTTACCATTTTGCATGGTTGATGATAATTCCAGTAAGTCGTCAAGCAATATCCATAGCAGCAAGATATATTTATGGAATTATTTGGAAGAAGTTTCTGTTTTAAATTATTAGCAATGGTTTGCGCTTTCTCAAAGAGTTTTGAGTAAGAACCTTTTTTTTTTCTGATTTGCAATGGATTTCGGAGATAAACTGAGAGGAATTATTTAGCAGAGATTCACTTTTAACATTTGTTTGACTTTCTTGTATTATACATTAGATGAAATATAACAAAGGGTTAATCTGTATGAATAATCGTACGATTATATTTGTTCAGAATACAACATTGCATAATCGATATGAAAATTGCAATCGTAAAAAATAAGAGTAATAATTGAAAATACACTTTTTGGGGAAAACAACAAAAGCACTTCTAAATAATGCAGTCTTTCATGTTAATCTTTTCGTAATGTCGAAGTGCTGCATTTTCAAAGATAAAAATTTGAGTCGGTTTTTCCATTTATTATCTTTTAAAAAGAACTACAAAAGAAAAAAAAAATTGAAAACTCATTTTACACTATCAAGAAAGGTAGAATATTTTCACAAACCGGTTGAAGCAATCTTAATCTCAGTGCAACTGCTTCAATCAGTGAATCCCGCCACGTATACATACGGCGGTCTACTACGTGTGTGGTATTGATGCAATCATTCCCACCGAATTCACACACTCTATAGTGATGGAGAAATCCCATGTCTGGTGGAATGTTCATCATAGTTTTCCCAGCGATAAATTCCCAAACAAAATGGTTACCCATTTCCACGACGCGCTCTGGAAGAACGATACATTTAGAGCGCTGCTTATGAGCATGGAACTTGGATTTCCTGATGGTCTTTTGCAATGTAAGCAATTTGTAAGGCAGGCTTGATGATGAAGTATCGTTGGGCCATTGCAGATAGAAGAAAGCATTCTGGAATGAATAAGCGCCAGTCCTTTCCTGGTTTTTCTTATTCAAATGTTCCAGCATTACCGTTAGAGAGGAATTCTTGTGCGGAATAATGTATTCATCTAAATCGATCATTAGAACATAACGGAATCTGTACATAGTTCGATACAGACAGTCATTGAGGGCTGCGAAAAGTCCCTCGGTGCGTATCTCTTTCTGAGATACGATATCAAGTTGCCATGGAAGCACAGTGACGACACCTTCGATCTCATACTTTTTCAAAATGCACTCTACCTCTGCACCTATTGTGTGATTGTAGAGTACGAAATGATTGACTCCTAGAATTCTGTTAAGTTCAATAAATTCGATCAAGTTTTTGACTTTATTGTATTCGTAATGCAATGGTTTAATGCACACTGCTATGCCTTCTGGTTTCGTGTACAGTTTCTTATTGTCATGAACGACAAGCTTGTTGGACACCGTATTGTCTCCTTGTCGGATGATAGATACATGGTTAGGTACGGGAACATTAACTTGTTTGAGAGGACATAAAATAAAATAAGCACTGTACTTCAGATTCCAATTCTCTCTAATGAGCCGATTGATTCCTGCAATTGTGTAAGGTTCTCTGCCATCTTTGTAAGAGAACTGGCAGAGCACCTTATCCGCCAGTCGTGTGCGAGCAGCTGCGATTACACGAACCCATTTAGTTCGTCTTTCGTCATAAAAGGCTGAATATACGAAAAACTTATCTTTAGTGTTCGGTACTAATTGCCAACGATCTTCGCTGATGATTGAGTTCGACAAAGCAAATAACTGGTGCCTCTGACGAGTTTCGTTAGAAGATGAAGCGTCGTCTTCTTTTACTCGCGCTAGTTCTCTGGCCACCCGTGAAGATATGGGGTCCATAAACTCATCCGGCATTTGCGAGGCATCTTTGCCGAAAGAGAACATAGATATGAATTTTTCATCTTGCCAACGCTGTTCTTCCACATAAAAGACTTCAGTCACTAGCATGCAAGCAAAGACGCCGAAAAATATGACCACAATAAAACAGGATTTTGCTCGACGCTCACTCGCTCTTTTCAGAACAGCCATTCTGGCCGATCGACTGGCCGAGCGCTTTTTCTTCATCATCAACCGTTACCACCTCCTCGGTGGACTGTCTTTTGTCCTCCTAGGATCGTCATGTTCATTTCAGCTTTCCATATCTACAAAAGAAAGATACAAAATGAATATTCGAATGACATTATATCTGATATAAAATAAGCTGCTTTGAATAATTAAGAATGGTATAGTTAATTTTTTGATGATTTTTAACTTATAGATTATTTGTGAGACATTAGACATTGTAGAATTTATACTGACATAAAATTCAAGAATGAAATAAGAAATAGTTTTCCATTACATTTATAAAGTATATTATTTATTACTCTGAATTTAAATAAGTCTTTCTCCTTTTTCTTTATTCACATTTTTGAAGATTTGGAGGCAATTTAAGTAGAGATAGAAGTTAGCATATATGCAGTTTTTGTTGCTATTTAATCTCGACAGAGCGAGAAAGGTAGGAAAACAATAAAACTACACAACAAGAAACTATACAATTAGAAGTTGCTACACTAGAATGAAAGCGAATAGAAGAATGTTATTTATTGCAGGTATACAGTATAATGGAAGAAAGACATGATTAAATTTACAGATGATTTGGGATACACAGTGTGCAGAATTCAGACACAGAGCTGCCAACGTCGGCAGCAACAACGGCTGGCCATCGAGTCGAACTGACCTTCGATGACCTTGTGGCTTTATGCCAGAGTTCACTGATCGAAGTGACTGTCGTTTGGTGCCAGTCTCTCGTCAACCCATGGCCAGATGTTCTCAATGCGGAGATATCCGAAGGACGTGCTGGCCAGGGCAACAGACTCTATATCGAGGACGATCAGGACAGCACGGGCAACATGCGGTTGTATTTTGTTGAAAGATGGTGCCTCTCGGACCTCGAAGATAGGACAGAGCCGCTACAATGAACGCCGTGCTGACAGGCCGCAAACATCGTCGCATTACCCTTATGGCCACATCCTACACAAAGCCAAGTTTGACTCATAGTACGTGGAGAAGCTGCATAAGTGATGAGGTTGCACCACCCCTCAAGGCCAAGCAGGCAACATGTCTGTCCTCTGAAATTTCATGCGCTACTTAAAAAGCCGATATGATTAATATTATTTAAATTAACCATGTTTTTATGAGTTGCATCTTTATTATAACATTTCCTTTTCGTTTTATCATTAGAAAACAAATCAGCTAGCTAGTATTTAAATTGAGGTTTTTGGATTGTAAGGTAGAGCGTGCTTCTGGTCTGCGCGCGCACGCTGCATTAATTCCTGATCCGATAATTTGCAATTATTATTTGACTTTGTGTTATCACTGCCGACATTTGAATTTGTTACGCCAACAGCGTTACTAAGCCAGCTTAGATTAAGATTTAATTTGCGTAGACTTTGCTTACTAGGGTACGTTTCAAATTAAATTTGGCTGTCGTTTACTTGCATCACCACAAGCTGTATTGGATTTATTAACACAAGCATGTGCACTTATGTTCTAAGTTCTGTTTTGGTTGAAAACGAACAAGTTGCAATTTTTTTGGAAGGAAAGGAAAAAAGTCGCACATCTTTCTTTCAATAGTAAACCAGGCAGAAAAATTGTCCGAAACAGTTGTACGTGTGAAACAAACGCCGTGTGATATGGGCCTTAGGGATTTGGGCTAATTACCTTTTACCAGATCAACGAAAACCTCATAAGCATATATAAAGGAATATAGAGTTTTTGACTGAGAGTTGGAAAGTGCTCCTCTATGTTGTTGGGTTCTACGGCACGTGGATTTGGAGAAATTGATGATATCACTTGATGAAAAACCAAAACGCAATTTATTCGTCAGTATTACACAGGACAGTTCCAAAGATACGTTTACAGTCTTCGAAAAACTATGCTGAAGACGCTGGAACAATCAGCAACACAGCCTTCAGGCTGTAACGGTAAAGGCAGCTTCACGGTAAAGCACTTAATTACAGCTCCTGACTTGGTCAATCGTTGTCAAGCTAATTTTTGAACTCAGGACACTACACTCATAGGACAGTAGCGGTGTATATGCCTTTAACCCTTTCCGTCCCTATTAATTTGTTTGTTCCAACTGACTTGACTTTTTATGTAGTCTTGGTAATTATCACAAAGAATGAAAAATATAATTTTAAAATAGGGAGATTACAGGAACCTGGGATAACTACGTCCCACTGGGTGGTAATGGTGGGACATATGTGTTCCATTAGGCATGGACGCTTATAAATGTAAATAACTCTGTGAAGCATGAGGCCACTCCAAATATTTGGGAAGCCGAAAGTCCTCTCAAGAGGTTGGTGGTAGGGAGGTGGAGGAAAGGACCCTCGGGGTTATGGGTTATGGTCACGTTACTAACATGTTCGCCAAACTAAGTTAATGGCACTAAGGGTTAGGAAGTCATCGAGTTATGATAGCATTGACGGTTAGGCCACTTTCTACATTGCACATAATCTTAGTTTCTGGATAAAGCATTTTCACACTTGCTTCATTATCTAAAGATGCCTTGTTGCAGTATAGTCGTGAAAAGTCTATCACAGGATAGTGTTGTAGTAGGAAGAAAGAACTGTTGCGAAGGTGCTCTGTCAGAGGGAGGGGAGAGAGGTAATAATATGCGTCGCGTCTTCCCGCGAACATAAGCCAGTTGTATCCCGTCTGAGGAATCGTCGGTAATACGGTGGAATTTCGGAGTGGTTTGGGACATGCCTGGAGGTAAGTCGTTGCATTGAGGCCTTCGAGAGTAGGTATGGGAAGATGTTGTAAGTAAATCTTCCTGTCTCTTCTTCCTGCCATCGTGATGACCATGTCTCTTGGAATGTTGTCTTGAGGAGCCTTTTTGCAGCTTCTGCGGAAAGCAGAACTTCCTTGACAATTTCCGGTTTAGAGCTGCAGTCTTAGCTAGTTCATCCGCTCGTTCGTTGTCTTTCTGCCCAGTGTGTCCTTTTATCCGGTTGATCTATAAAGGGACGGAGGAGCTTAACGTCAGGAGGATCTCTCTAAGTGCTGCCGTGTGGCTCTCTCTCGAAAATGAGGTGCGAAACTGAGCTAAAGTCGGGCTGTCACCTATACGGTGCTCAAGGCTCTTGCCAGTGACAGTCGCACTTGACTCCTTACCATGATGAATGTCGTGGCTTGTACTGACCATTATTAGACAAGCAAGATTGGTAACAACAACAACATCCCTCTAGATAAAATTATATTAGTAATGATTTGCGTTTGCAGTTTTAATTAAGATGAGGTGGTAATCTAAAACCCGAATCTTAGATATAGTTTTGTATTTAATAATCGGCGCCACCACTAAATGCTGGCACTTCGCTCCGGAATCTATCCCAGACAAACGGGCTGCCTGCATGGATGGTTTTCGTGGCTTTTCCCATGTATAACGTGAATATGAATTAGTTTCCAAGTCCTCCAAGAAGGTATCTTTGCGCGTAAGCCCTTGAATTCACATACTCATGTATTCTGACCGTATTCATGAAACTTAAATCTAATTTAAAATTTAATATTGATAAGATTTGTTTACAGAATTTAGTTCTTCAATCTTCTGTACTAAATAAAACCATAGGCTATCCGAATAATAGAAATGCTCCGATTACTGGGTTCTCACTGCTTTGCAAGTTAAATATGTAAGTACGGTAAGGCTAGTAAAGAAACCACTTTTGCATATACCGTATTTTATTTCAACAAGGATTATATATTAAAAGAATAAAATGCCATTTTATTTACGCAGGAACTTTTTTATGGGGCAAATTAAATGTTTTTATTTATTTATAATTATTTTTATTATT